ACTTGTTTTCATTTTCTTTAGCTTCAGTTTGAATTTACATATGAGCAATTGGTGATTAGTTCCACAATCTGCCCCTGGCCTTGTTTTCACTGGTGACATAGAGCTTTTCCATTGTCTCTTTCAATTTGATTTCTGTGTATTCCATCTGGTAAGGCCCATGTGTATAATCGTCTCTAATGCTGTCTAATAAAGATATTTGAAATGAACAAATCACTGATTTTGCAGAATTCTATCATGTGATCTCCATCATCATTTCTATCACCAAGGCCATATTTTCCAACTACTTAGGACAAGGTTATTGTTTGTAATATAGGATTCCTTGGGTGACATAAATGACTAAGTACTTGACTCCTCGTTGAAATATTGGTGGTTTGAACCCACCTAGAGATGCCTCAGAAGCTTGGCTGATGTTTGCTTCCGAACTTTTATGGCCTTGAAAATCCAATGGAGCAGTTCTAGTCTGTATGCATGGAGCCACCATGAGCTGGAGTCAACTCAATGGCAACAGTAATGCTTACAATAAATTCCCTGAGTGGTTAAGTAGTTAAAGGCTGCTAACAAAAAGGTTGGCAGTTTGAATCCACCCAGAAGTACCACAGAAAAAAGATTTGGCAATTTATCTCTGAAAATGCAACCACTGAAATTCCATGGAGCATAGTTCTGTGGCATACATGGGTTCTCCATGTGACAGCAACTGCCTATTATTATTATTATTATTATTTTAATGCTTGTAAGGTTCTGGCCTCCTTTTGTAGTCCTTGGGCAGTGTCACAGTCAAAAGAAGAATCCAGCAACTGAAATCATGTATCAAGGACTCCAGATTTCTTCATGTATTTTGGGGATATTGTAAAGGAGGCCAATCCTCTAGAACAATACTTGTGAGCTTCCTTTCTATTCTTTTATACGTACTGCCACATGCTTTATAGCTACAATATCTTCTCTATCTTTAGCTCACTCCCTTCAAAATAACCTCCCCATGCCATCCTTAACCTTAACGTTCTTTCCCTTTTAACTTCAGTTTTACAGCCCTCAAAACAGGAACTTTTTTTGAAGCCTGGGGAGTAGACAAGTCGGAGATAGGACCTTATTAGTAGGCCATGAGGACAGTCTGGGGCATCTACACTTTTTTGGCCATTACAACCATAATCTAGCCACCTCCCCAAGGATGACACTTTTTTTTATGACTCTAGACTTTGTGTGCTATCTTCCCATTGATACATCAAGTATGTTTTTAGATCCATACTGACTTGTATCATTTCTATGAGTACTTACAGTGTACTAAGCCATTTGATTCAGTCTGACCTAAGTTTGAGAATTTGTTTTATAACAAAGTGGAGATATCCAATATTGATTGAGAAAGCACATATTCTGTAGTTATAGTTGAGAATCTAGTAAACATAAAGCAGCGATGATAACAATTGAAACTTCCTTGCCACCATGGAACAATTGTTACTTGATCACAATTCTCAGTCCTTGCTTAAACTGGTTCTAGCTCATTCTCACAGATGATCTTTCATTTTATCTCCACCAGGTAAAGACACTCCTTCCAAGGATACAAGCACATCGAGCGAATTTATATCATCATCTGAATGCAAGGAAACATGTTTCCTGCCACAGAACATGACTCCAGGTATGTAAACCCCAAAGACAGCCCCCATTTGTTTATACTTCTTGTGCAGTAACTTATTCTGTCATCTGCAAATTCCACCCTCCCCCAATCTAAGGCTGTTTTCTTTGTCTGTCACACTCTCATATCTTTTTCATCAAATCTATCCTTATAGACATTGCTTTGATTATGTCAGTCACCTCTTTGCAAATCTTCCAGGGCTTTCCACTGTCTTCTAAACTTCTCCATTTTCTCCATCTGCATAAGTCCCAATTACAGGATAAATTTAAACCTTCTCTGGCTGTTCACAAACTTGACTTATATTAGGAGTTCCATGTCTTAGTAAAATTACACCATCTACTAGATTTTGGGAGTCCTGGTGTGGTGCTGTGGGTTAATGCACCAGACTGCAAAGCTGGTTGAACTGCAAAGTCGGTGGTTCAAGCTCACCAGCTGCTCCTTGGAAACTCTATATAGGGTCACTATGGGTCAGAACCGACTTGACGGCACTTAACAACAACAACAACTAGATTTTGAGGTTTCAGGAGGGCAAAGGTAATTGACAAAAATAATTATGTCTCCTAACTAGTACCTAAAGCAGTTGTTTGTACATAGTTAATGTGCTGGACTACAAAGTAGATTTTAACTGTAAGGTCGGCAGTTCAAATTCACCAGCTGCTCCTCCGAAACCCTATACAGGGTCGCTGTGGGTCGGAACCGACTCAAGGGCTCTTATGAACAGCAACAACAAGCTCTCAGAAAATGTTTGATAACTAAATGTATAAACGCTGAATGAATATGTGGATGTCACATTTGAATTCTGTACCATACCTAACATGGTGGCGGTAGTTCTGTGACTTAGAGTTTGTTCTGATTCGCAGAGACTTGGTATAGGGTTTCTGAGGGTGTAAATTTTTGTAGGAGCAGAAAGAGAAATGCTGGTAGATTTGAACTGCTGACTTTACAGTTAGCAATCCAGTTTGTAATCCAATCCGCTACCAGAGCTCCTTTTATACACAGTAGTAGTAGCTGTTGTTGTTTATTGCTTTTGAGTCAGTTATGACTCAAGCCAGCATAGGGTTTCCGATGAGTGACTGGTGAGTTTGAACCATCAACCTTGTTGTTCAAACTGACCTTGTGGTTGAGTGCTTATCTTATAGCACCACATGGTAGATGCTCAATAAACATTTGTTAAATAAAGGGAAAAGTAAATGACTGACTATATGGAATAAAAGAGGCTGAGCAAAAGGGTTTTATCTTTGATGGATTTTTTCAGAAACACAAAAGAAAAGATTTTTAAAGTAAAGTTAAAAAAAAAAAAATCTTCCTTTCAATGATCAGTCCTCACTAGATGCCCTTAAGAGACTTTCATGTAGCCTTTGAAGAGAGAGTTGTCATCAGAGGAGGCTTTACCTGAGTTGACCCCTGCATAAGAAGCTCAGGGCAAGCCTGTGAAAGATTTGCTTCTGATGTACAGTACCTGGGGACACTTTTGGGGGTGAATTACGTGTGTGCTAAGTGACTTACTCAAGGTCTTCTTAGAAACAATGCTCACCTCCTGGAGGTGGCAAATACACCTGTTTGTTGTTAGTTACCATTGACTCATGGCAACCCACGCACAACAGAACCAAGTATTGCCTGTTCCTGAGCCATCCCCAGTGCTTATTTATATCCAGTTGCTGATTGGATAGTGTTCCATCGTGGTCAATAGAATTTTGTCATTTAGAAGTTCTTTCTTCCTAGTCCATCTTAGTCTAGAAGTTCTGTTAAAACTTGTTTAGCATCCTAGCAACACACAAGCCTGCACTGCACATGTGATATGTTGGCTACCATGCCTCAATCCCTTTTTAGCAGGGGGTGGAGTGGTAGAGGAAACAGAGTCTTAGAGAGAGAGGTAACTTACCCATGGCCATATGGTAAATACAAATGCATGATAGGGAGGGGATTTAAGCCAAGCCCTTGTTTCTAATTATGGTGCTCTATTGCTTCTCCAAATTGGATCTCCCAGTGATACAAAACATAGGTTTCTGTAAAAGACTGAACATTATGAATGCTTAAAAGGAAGAAAACTATGTAAATAGTTCTTTTGTTTCATAGTTTCAAATGCTGTTAAACTGCTTGCTAACCATGAGAACACCTTGCCCCTTAATTCTCTCTCCTGTGTCAATCTGCTCATTTCTGTCAGCTTGGACCATCTCTGAAAGACGCTGAGTTACCATCTGTGGTCCCATGAAGGTGGTGGAGTCAGCATTTTGCTTTATCAGTGCATGTAAGCCAAGGAAAGCAAAGGTGAAACCATATCCACCAGAGGCTGAACTTGTCCATCTTTAAAGTTTTCCACCAGGAGGCTGTTTCCTAGAAAGCCAGAGGAGACTTGGCTCCACTGCCAGCCTGTCTTTCATAGATAGAGTTCAAGACAGAATTAATCAGACACAGCACCATGATTACAGGGCCAGTATTCCAAAGGATTAAAATGTGACAAACTACCCTTTGCACTATGATTAAAGTGAACCTGCTTTAATCTCCCCCTGTGAGATGCAGAGGACCCTGTAGGATTGGGCAGTGAGCCCGGGGCTCTGTTCTGAGCATGTTGAGATCTTAAAAGCAGTTTGTTTGTTTAAATCCTAGTCTTTTGAATTCCATATTAATAGCTTCACATGGGTGGCAAGAGGATACACGCTGAAGAGACTGTTAGTCAGCAGGGACAATTCCAAGAGTGATTTCAGAAGGCAGTTTGGACCAGACTTTGGAAGGCTGGGAAAGATGGGGAAAGGAATTATAGCAATATTCAATGCCAAGGCTAAAAAAGATGTGGCCAGATGAGAGCAGCTGAGGGCAGTAATTGCTCCAGTACTCAGGGTGGGCAGATAAAGATGGCAAGAGCTCATGTTTAGTGTGTTTCTTGAATATTCAAAACGTACCAGGCACTGAGAAAGAAGTGCATAATCTCATTTACTAAGTCTCTTAAAATCCTTGTGGGATAGGTATGACAATTGTCATTTTGTTAATGAGACAACTGAAGCAGGTTGTTGTGGTTGTTAAGTGCCTTCGAGTTGGTTTAGATATACAGTGACTCTGCATTGGGTTTCTGAGGCTTTTTTAAATCTTTGTGGGAGCAGAAAACCTCATCTTTATCCTATGGAAAGGCTGGAGGGTTCGACCCAAGTGCTTTGTTGTTTGCAGTCCAGTGCTTGTCATATGAAGCCACCATGATCTCCAAGTGAAGCATAGACAGGTTATTAGTGATTCAGGGTGGCACAGCTGGCAAGGGGTAGAGCCCAGTCTGGAGCTCGCGTTTGAATGACTCCTGTCTTTCAGGCTTCATCTTTGTGCTGTACCTCCATCTAGATGTCAGTCTGCAGTGAGGCTACCAGAGAGGGATTTGGACTGGGGTTGGTGTTGGTTGAATGACAATGGGGATTGGTTGGGAATAGAACATAGACCAGGGAGAAGCTGAATGAGACAAACACCCATCCTAAGTTCACATCAAAGCCAGGCCAGGCAGGCACATAGTACAGAAGCTGTTTTTTTTTTTTTTCAGGATTTCTAGGTTCAAGACAGGTCTAATAAAAGATGGGGTTCAGACCTGCCTTGCAGACCAAGGCCAGCATGATAGGGGCTTTCTCTGATGTGATCAAGAATTTGTAAAGGTCCTGGCAAGTTAGAGCTAGAAGAGCGATATTGTGACTATCTAGTCCAACTTCTTGGCTTAATGTGTTTGATAATTATGAATGTAACTGCTATTTATTATTTAAAGGAGACACATTGCCTAGTGTGGCCTTTCTTGACAACATTAACCCCAGCTGCTCGATCACTCTGTCTCGTTATGATACTCAAGATTTTTCATAGCACTTTTCTCCACTGCAAGCTATTGTGTTCATGTGATTACTTGCATCTTTTTTTTCACTGGCAAGTAGAATATAAACTCCAGGAGAACAGAGACCAAGTCTATCTTGTTCTCTGCTGTATCCTCACAACTAAAACAGCTTCTGGTTCATAAAAGGTCCACAGTAAGTATTGTTGAATGAACGTGCATTGTGAAGGGCTCATAAAACTTTGTCTTAATCAGCTACCCTGACAAACATTTATAATTATATGAGCCAAGAAACAGACTCAAGAAAACATGTGTATGTGTATAATGCATACAAGTTTATGATATCGATTGTTGTTGTTAAGTACACTTGAGTCTGTTCCAACTCATAGCAACTCTCTATAGAGTTCTCAAGAGGTGATAGGTGGGTTTGAACTGCCAACCTTATGGTTAGTAGTCCAGTGCTTATCCTACAGTACCATATCATAGTCTAATACTGCTTATGTATTATACATTTCATATATAAGTACATTTCTTTAAAATGGATAAAGTGGTATTTGTTTACAACATTCACAAATTATTCACATGAGGAAATATATGTCCTAGTTGATTCTGTGTCATATTATCACATCTGTGCCAAGCAGTGTAGGAGTAAACCCTAGACAAAGCAGAAATGGCCAATGTGGAAGTCTAGAAGCTTCCCAAGTCATCTTCATTTTTCCTGGGGAGGACAATTTAAAGGAGCACTCAGATGATCATTAAGACCACTTTTAATCTCTAATGAGGGATGATATCGATGTAGAGCTGATGTGGGACACACTGGGGACTTACCTAATTCTTTGTATCCTTTTCTTGCATCTCCAGCAGACCTTTTCCCCTCTGTTCTCTTTCAGATCTAACACTCTCTTTCTGTGTGAAGAGCCGCTCCAGAAGGTGTGTAAATGGCCTTTTGCAGGAAGCTGCCAGGAGGAGGCTCTGGGCTCTGGAGAATGAGAACCAGGGGGTGCGTGCACTGTTTAAGGTAAGCTTTAGGAGAACAGGTATAATCTGTGAGAACAAGGCTTTGTATTCATTTACTATGGGGTCCCCATCACCTAGGACAGTGTATGGAACAAAGTAAACACTCAAGAAAGCATTTGACTGACTGACTGACTGACTGATTGCATGAAAGAATGAATAAACAATTAAATACACATTCTCTGCCTGACAGGGTGGGGCAGGAACTCAGAATGGAGCGAACTTCTGAAGAGGCAGAGTCAGAGAAAACTTGGTTTTCAAATCTACCCCTATTAGTTGTGGGGCCTTTGGCAACTTAGTTCATCTTTGTAAAATGAGAATCATTATAACAACTACCTCATTAAGAGCACTTTCTAAAAGTACCAGCATTGCCAATCAAAGTGACTAAAAAAATATATTAGAATGAAAGGCGTAATAGTCAATAAAGTAGGTGAAAGAATTCTTCATCTTTCTGAGTAGATAGATAATACCTAGGTTCCTGGGTGGTGTAAATGGTTTGGGATTATTTACTAACCAAAAGATTGGAGGCTTGAAGCCACTCACTGATACTTTGGAAGAAAGACCTTGCAATCCAATTTTTTGTTGTTGTTGTTGTTTAATTGGCCATTGAAAACCTTATGGAGCACAGTTCTACTCTGAACCTTGTGTGATCACGATGAGCCAAAATTAACTTGATGACAAAGGGCTTTACAATATCTGAAACTGTGAAACCAAGGAAGAAGGATCTGTTTAAAAGTTATTGTAACCAAACGTGAAATGGACGCTATTGCTTCCCATAATACGCTTATGTTCTAATGCTTTGTGTGTGTGTGTGTGTGTATATATAGTCTCTCTATTAATTTAACAACAATTTAAAAGAGAAAAATAGTCTAGAAATCTATCATGTGACAAAAAGTGTCTGGTTTGTTGGAAGAAATAAATGAAATGGTATCTGCTTGGGTGCCCCAAAGTGTATATGCTCCATTAATAGTAGATAAGGGGTGTCTTCTTTTTGTTTGTTCAATCCCTGGAATTGAGGACCTTTGAGTGACTGATGCAATTTGTTGTTGTGAAGTGTGAAGTGCTGTTGAGTCAGTTCCAACTCATAGCGACTGATGCATTGGAACCTCCAACCTTGTGGTTAGCAGTCCAGCACCGCACTAGAACTCCAATGTTATCAAGTGCCATCAAGTTGGTTCTGATCCATAGTGACCCTGTATAAGGTTTACAAGGAGTGGCTGGTGAGGTTGAACCACCAACCTTGTGGCTCAAACCAGCTTTGAAGTCCAGATCATTAACTCTCAGCACTACCCCAGGACTCCAGGACTTTAATAGAGTTCCTTTAATTTGTGTGGTGTCTGACATGAACAAGAAATCCTGTTAGTGCTGTAGGTTAGATGCTGGATTGCTAGCCTCAAGGTTGGCTGTTCTCTGTGGGAGAAAGGTGAGTCTGTTAGTTCCCATAAAGATTTATAGTCTCAGAAACCCTATGTAGGGTCAGAATCAACTGGGTGGCAATGGGCAGTGGGTTTGGTTTTTGGTTTGATGTAGCGTAGTCAGGTTATATTGAAAGGGCTGACCAGCTGGGCAGAGTCTTGGACGAGATGAGTTTGTGGGAAGGACTGAGACTGAACCTGGAGTCAGCGAGTCTAGGAACCAACAGGTCTCTACAGCTCACAAGCAAATGATGATGGGCATGTGGCTTAGTTTCTTTCTGCCCTATTCTTGATGGTAAAGTAGGGACAAAACATTTTTATTAAATCCAAGATGCTGCTGATTATTAAATGCACTGCACTGTAGGATAAGCATTGGACTGCTAACCACAAGGTCCATGGTTGAAACATGGTTCAGAAACCTTATACAAAATCACTATGAGTTGGAAACAATTAGACAGCACTTAACAACAAGAACAATACCGATTAGAAAGAAAGAAAGAAATAAAAAAGTGCTGCCAGTTAAGCCGGATGCCAGACCTCCTTCTCTTATATGTTAGAAATGATTAACTTCCTAAAAGTGCACCTTTGTTGTTGCTGCTGTTATTAAGTGTTGTTGTATTGGTTCTGATGCTTAGCGACCTGGTATAGGGTTTACAAGGGGCAGCTGGTGGGTTTGAACTGTTGACCTTGTGGTTTGCAGTTCAGTGCTGATCCTACAGTGCCACACCAGAATTGAATCTTGGAATGGATCAAGTACTGTCTTCACAGTGTTACTGTGAGAGTCAAGTGAGGTATTGCTAAGTTATTAGTGAATTGCCAGATAAGTAGTGATGCCTGGATTTTACCTGAGAACCCATTCTGTACTACTGCATGCTCCAAGGATGTGGGTTCTCTGGGCCTTGGTGGGCCATCTGCTCCCCACAGTTCTGATCTTTCTGATCTGGGGACTTCTTTTTTTGGATCCTTTTACCCTCTTTGTCCCAAGGGTTCTCTTAGGAGAGGGTTCCAGGGGTGAATCTCTGGTGGTGAGACCTGGCTTAGGGGGAGAAGGCGTGTTTAGCTGTAGGAACTCCTTAGGTCCAGAAAACAGTAGAGAAAAATTTTAGGGGAAAATGAAGTCTGAGCAGTAATTTGGTTCTGTTTTTTGAGACATGCAGACCTCTTCTTGCTCTGCTGTAAATTGGCATCACTTTTCTGAAGAGCAGTTTGCTCTTTGAATTTGCTCTCCCCAATTACATTTATCAGAATTACTTGTGACAAAGCAATCAAGGATGTGCACAAAGATTTTGCATGTTTATCATACGCTATTTAGGATGTAGAAAAATGAAAACAATTCAAATGCAAACAGAGAAAAGAAAGGTATGTGACAGGGTTGTATTCTTTCACCATACTTATTCAACCTGTATGCTGAGAAAATTATCTGAGAAACTGGGTTATATGAAGAAAACGTGGCATCAGGATTGAAGGAAGACTCATTAACAACCTGCAATATGCAGATGATACAACTTTGCTTGTTGAAAGTGAAGAAGACTTAAAATATTTACTGATGAAGATCAAAGAACACAGTCTTCAATATGGATTACATCTCAATGTAAAGAAAACAAAAATCCTCACCACTGGACCAATAAACAACATTCTTATCAACAGTGAAAAGATTGGTGTTGTCAAGGACTTCATTCTTTTTGGATCAACTATCAACACTCATGGAAGCAGGAGTAAAGAAATCAAATGATGTATTGCATTTGACAAATCTGCTGCACAAGACCTTTTTAAAGTGTTGAAGAGCAAAGATGTCAGCTTGAGGACTAAGGTGCACCTGACCCAAGCCATGGTATTTTCAATAACCTCATATCCATGTGAAAGCTGGACAGTGATTAAGGAAGACGGTAGAAGAATTGATGCTTTTGAGTTATGGTGTTGGAGGAGAATATTGAAAGTGTCATGGGCTGCCAAAAGAACAAACAGATGTGTGTTGGAAGAGTGCAGCCAGAGTGTTCCTTGTAGGCCAGGATGGCCAAACTTCGTCTCTCATACTTCAGACATATTGTCAGGAGGGACCAGTCGCTGGAAAAGGATATCACATTTGGTAAGGTGGAGGGTCAGAGAAAAAAAGGAAGACCCCCAACGAGATGGATTGGCAAAGTGGCAGCATCAATAGGCTCAATCGTGGCAACAGTAGTGAGGTTGGCTCAGGACCGGGCAGTGTTTCGTTCTGCTGTGCATAAGGTCGCTATGAGTCAGTACCGACTCGATGGCACCTAACAACAACATTAAGTCAACATAACAATGGCATATGTAAGAATTAAAAATATTGCACCTTCACATCAAAATAAAGAAGAGGAAAATTAGAAAGATTTAGTAAGCATTGTTGTTGTTGTTGTTGTCAGGTGACATCGAGTCGGAACCGACTCATAGTGACCCAATGCACAGCAGAACGAAACAATGTCCAATCCTGGGCCAACCTCACTACCACTGCCACACTTGAGTCTATCAATGCTGCCACCTGGCCAATCCATATCGTTGGGGGTCTTCCTCTTTTTCTCTGACCATCCATCTTACCAATTAGTAAGCATTAAAACAACAGAAATGAAGAAAATGCAAAGAAAACCCACAAACAAAATAAACTCAGGACAGAAAATTATGTGGAAAAATAAAACCCAGTAGCACCACAAAAAATAAACCCACTCACAGCAAAATGACAGTAATTAATCCTTACCTATCGATAATTATACTGAATATAAATGTATTAAATGTGCCAGTCAAGAGACAGAGTAGCAGAATGGATGAGAAACAAGATACTTCAATATACTGTCTACAAGAGACACACTTTACAAACAAAGACAAAAATAGATTAAAAACCAAAGGATGGAAAAAAACAAAACAAAACATATCATGTACACTGCAATAAAAAATTAGCCTGAGTGGCAATATTAATCCTTGATAAAATATAATTTAAGGTTAAAAAAAAAAAAGCAGCATAAGGGACAAAGAAGGACACTGTATCATGATTAAAGGCTCAAACAGAATGAGAGGACATACCCTTAGTAAATATCTATGTTCCCAATGAAAATGTCCCAAAATATATAAATCAAACTTTAATAGAACTGACGAAAGAACTAGACATCTCCACAATAATTATAGGAGATAATTATACACCACTTTCAAATTCACCAGTTGCTCCTTGGAAACCCTATATAGGGTCACTATGTGTTAGAAGTGACTCGATGGCACTTAACAACAACAACTTTCAGTGAAGTACAAAACAACTAGGAAGAGGAAGAAGTGGAAAAAGGGAAAAAGAAGACAGACAGACAGACAGAAAAAAAAAGCAGAGGCAGAAAAGATAAAAAGAAAGGGAAGGGAAGGGAAGGGAGAGAGAGGCAAAAGGAGACAAATCTAAACAACAACAAAAAAAGAGAAACAACAACAATAAAACAACAGTGCAGTTACTGGACCCAGAGAGAAGATAAATTCTGGGGGAGGGGTTCTTGTTAACCAAGGCGCTCATGAAGTGGTTAGGGGAGGGATGAGATGGTATTGTTCTCAGGCCTAAATGGAGTTCCTATAGGCCCAGGCATTGTCTGTCTGGACCAAAAGGTCACCACCGGGGCCTGGACCAGTTCAGGGTCTATTAGGCAAGTCTGCGGACTGTGAAATCTGAAGCAGAACCTGCTCAAATCCAAGCACCAAAGCAGTACGGTCCACACCTGACTCACTCAGATGCATCCCACAGTCTCTGTGCTGTGAACTCTTGGACAGCAGGGGGCTGAGGATGTTGGCTGGCCAAACCTCAAGTCAACAGGGGAATTTGGGGAACCAGAAAGAAGCTTCCTAGTTTTCAGTCATCTGCACTATCAGCTGTAGTCTGAAGCTGTTGACTAAAGGTCACAATGACTGCACCGAGTCTGGCTGGAAGAACCTTTACCAGTCTGTTTCCCTCCCTTGATGCTCCTGCTCAGCTTCTCCTCCTCATTAAGTGTTCAATCCACTTCTCCAAACTGTCCTCTGAAGTTCAAGCTTCCAGAAGTATCATCGGTGTGTTTTATTTGATCACCCTTATCTTTATTGCAGAGGGTCTGAGCAGTATATCTGCCTAGTCTTCCATCTTCTAGAGATTATAAAATAATTTATTAAATGTTACTCTATTTATATGAAATAGTTGCATAGGAATTCATGCATAAGGAAAAAAGATTTGGAGTTATATATGTAAATTTCAACATTGATGAGTTCTAGGTGGTGGGATTATAAGCAATTTTTATTTTTGTCTGGCTTGGTTTTTATTTGCTAGCTTTATAAAACTACTTATTATACATAGATTCACAATCAAATTTGTATTTAAGATTCCATTCACCAATTGCACCTCCCACATCCTTTTTATTTTCCTTATACAAATCGTAGCATTCTCTGCTGTACCCTGGTTTATTTTTGTTGCTGTTATTATTCTATTTAACAAGGTATATTTGCAGTTTGTATCAGTACACAAAGAACATCTTTATTCTTTTTCATGTCTGCATAATATCATAATATTTAGGCTGTTCCCATGGGTGTGTGTGTGTGATATAAACATCAATGCTGCAGTCAATAAGCCAACACAAGTCATTTTGTACATATGGAGGGTTTTGTTAGCCAGACAATTCTGTAATCCTAGAATGATTCCATTTTTCTCTTCATTCAGGACCTTTCAGCAAGGTTGGTGAGTATCCAGTCCCAGAAGTCCCAGTTTCTCATCACCTTCAAGACCATGGAGGAAATCTGGAAGTTCTCCACTTACCTGAAGCTAGGTATAGCATGGAGCAGGCATGTGGAGGAGCAGCTGCTTCACAGTTCAACCAATTTGTAGAACTTGACATTAGAACTTGATCTGGCTCTGATGATTAGAGAAGTAGAGCCCATAATGGGTGACTAACTTCAGACATATTACAACTGCCAGGAACTAAATCTAAATCAAATGTTCAGTGCTATTTTAAAATTCTGCGTTATGAGGTTGCCTTCATTGTCTTCAGGGGGCCTCTTCTTTACTAGATAGCCAATCAAATAGCAAACATTTATTGGTCATCTACTAAATATAAAGTACTGAGATAGATATGAAATTAACAGTTAAGAAAAAGAAAAGATTTAGTCTTGAGTAAGATCAAAGTTGTGGTTTTTATCTGCCCAGTCCTGTGCCATCCTCACAATTGTTATTATGTCGGGCTCCCTTGTTGCTATCACTGTATCAGTACATCTCATTGGGAGTATTACTCTTTTTTGCTGATCCTCCACTTTCTCAGGCACGATGTCCTTCTCCAGTGACTGGTGCCTCCTGACTACATGTCCAAAGTATGAGAGCCAAAGTCTCACCATACTTGCTTCTAAGCATTCTGTCTGTGCTTTTTTCAAGATAGATTTGTTTGTTCTTTTGGCAATCTATGATTCTTTCAATATCCTTCTGCAACACCATACTTCAAATGCACTGATTCTTCTATGCCCTTCCTTATTCATTGTCCAACTTTTATGTGCTTATGAGGCAATTAAAAACATCATGGTTTGCATCAGGCATATCTTAGTCCTCAAACTGACATCTTTGCTCTTGAACATCTTAAAAGGTCTGTTGCAGCAGAATTGCCTAATATAATAAGCCCTTTGATTTCTTGACTGTTGCTTCCATGAGTGTTGATTGTGGATCCAAGCAGAACGAAGTCTTTGGCAACTTCAGTCTTTTCTTTGTTAATCATGATGTTATTCAGTGGTCCAATTGTGAGGACTTTTGTTTTCTTTATACTGAGGTGCAATCCATACTGCCCACTGTATTCTTTGATTTTCATCAGCAAGCATTTAAAGTCCTCATCACTTTCAATAAGCAAAATTGTGTCGTATGCATATCACAGGTTGTTAATGAGTCTTCCACTAATCCTGAAGCCACCTTCTTCATATAATAAGCCACCTTCTTCATATAATGCAATTTGTCGAGATAGTTGTTCAGTGTACAGATTGAGTAAGTATGGTGAAAGGATACAACTTGGGCACACACCATTCCTAATTTTAAACCATTCGATATCCCCTTGTTCTGTTTGAACGACTGCCTCTTGGTCTGTGAACAGGTTCCTTATGAGAACAATTAAGTATTCTAGAATACCCATTCCTGCATCATTCAATATTATGCCCATGTTGTTGTTGTTGTTAAATGCTGTCAAGTCAATTCCGACCCATAGCGACCCTGTATAGGGTTTCCAAGGAGCAGCTGGTGAGCTTGAACCACCAACCTTGCAGTTCAAATGGGTTTGCAGTATGGTACAGCACCACACCAGGACTCCTTCAATATTATAAGTCAAGGCTTGAAGTTTTTCAACAGTTCTTTCAGCTTGAGAAATGCTAAATGGACGATTTCCATTTAACTTAGATTCTTACTTTGTACATTACAAGTTCTGATTATTGGTGGATGTTAGCAACTTTTTTTCTCATTTTGAGTTCTGCCCCATCAGTAAATAAAATTCTTGAAAACTTTGTTCCAGTCATGTCATTATGGTCAACTCTATTTTGAGTGGCTTCCAGTCTGAAGTGCTCATCTTTTGGTACTCTACCTGACAATGTTTCACTGCTATTCATTAGGTTTTCAGTGGTTAGGATCAGCACTGGACTGCAAATGTCAAGGTTGGCAATTCAAACCCACTAGCTGCTCCTCAGAAATCCTATGCATGGTCACTATGAGATGGAACTGACTCAAGGGCACTTAACAACAACAATACAGAAGTGATCTCTCTCTCTTTTTTCCTAGTCCTAATATGTAAACTCCACTGAAACTTGCCCACTATGGGCGACCTTGCTGGTATTTAAAACACTGGTGGTACATCTTCCAGAATAACAACAACACTCAAGCTACCACGATATGACAATTAGACAAATGATGGAATTTATGACTGTAGGTGTTTAAAATACTGTAGATAAATTGCTTGATGTACACAATTTTTAGTTTAAAAAGGGCGAGTTTATCTGTCCTTGGGTAAGGGACAGTGTGGTAAGTGGGTGTGTTGAAGTCAATTGTAAGTCTTCTGTGGGCCAGGAAGACCCTCTGTGGACATTGTATCATCAGGGGTTCTAGATTTTGAAGTTCAGGGCTAGTTAACATCAAAGGGGGACCAGGAACCTTCAAAGTCACCGTGATAAACTTGGATTTTCCTAGTATGAATGTATTAGGAAAGGTGAATTGAGTTTGGTCATTTCACTATGCACTTATGGGGACCCATATTATATTGAAAATGGTAAATATCATTTAAAAATATTTGCATTTCTCCTTAGAACAACAAGGCTCTGGGATACAGGGGTCAAGGTATAGCTTGAAGAGGGTAAATAATACTAAAATCCTTGACTGCCTTATGAATATTAGTTTCCCTTGCCTACTATTGTAAAATAGACACTTGAGTGGTATAGAAAGGAATGTTGGGAAGCATGATTAGAGAAAACTTGTAAGCCCATCTTCAGCCTATAATTGATTGGAATACCGCAAAGGGGTTCTACAACTTGCCCAGTGAAATAGGCCTTGTACAAAGCCTTCACAGAGTATAGGACCTTAGGTGGAATCCTGAGTCCCATCCACAACCTTGTGAGAGGTTCCCATTAGAAAGGACAAGCAGACTGGAACAGCTACAGTGACAGAAGATACATCTTCATTATGAACCTGACCTATACTCAGAGCAGTAGTTACTCTAAATACCAACAGAGAGGGAAAGAGTCTTCAAATCAAGTATCAATGCTATCTGCTCTGTGCACAGGGTAGATAGGGATGGGCAACTTAGACATTGGTTATCTAAAATGAGGGGACAATAAAGGCACGAAGTGACTGGCTTACAAGGTTTCAAGAGGGAGCTTAGTTAAGAGTGTGGGGGAAAGAAAGAGTCCCCACTGAATAGTTGTCATCTTATCTGGATGGGTCTGGTGAAAGGAGATGGGGATAAGATTCGGAAGATTCAGTAGTGATTAACTGTTATCATGACTAATCGCGACTGTCACAATTGTAAAGGTAGAAGATTTGTAACAAAAAAAAAGGGGAGTGATTAATCTTACAGTCCAGAAACAGAGTACCCTAGGACCATCAAGAGAGGAACACACAAATAGAATGTGGGACCTTATCCAGAGAAGCAGCAGCACCAGAGATGGAGGTAGAGATGGGGGCATGGAGAACTCTAGATTCATCAACTAAGAAGAGAAGGACTAAGAACTGGTGGCCAGGAGCAGACTTGCAGAATGTGCCCTTTGGAGATGTAATTTATTATATATGCCTGAGTGGGAAAAAAAAAAATTTGCATTTCTGAACAGATGCTAGAAAAATCCATTTACACTAGAAATTTTCTAGCACCCCCTTACCCCAAACTCTCCTCATTCCAGTTAAATGAGGTCAGATTTGGAATCAAGAACTGTGAAGGAGTCTGCTCACTGTCTTGTGTGTTCTGCTAATGCCAGAAATCATTTTGTTCAGGACTCTTTTGTTGGCTTGACTCCTTAGGCTATGTGTCCACCTGTCTGGAGCATCTTCTCTTTGACCACAAGTACTGGCTTAACATCAGGTTGGTGGAGGATACCGAGATCCAAGTCTCAGTAGATGATAAACACCTGGAAACAATATACCTGGGACTCCTGATACAGGAAGGTGAGCATGGACTAGGGGTGAAGATGAGGATCATTTGTGGATATTTATTTCCAGTGTCCCCCAAATAACTAGGTTACAAAAGAAGTAGGAAAAAAAAAATCATTCAAACATGAACAGTTCACAAATCAACTGACATGCTATGTATATATAACTCATCAATCGCTTTCAGTTTGACACTGAGCAGCTACATTGGCCAGTATTGATGATTGATGTTAGACCCACCTGGGGAATTTTTAAAAAAAGATGCTCATGTCAAGTAAGCCAGGTAAATCTTTGGAGGTGGGGCCCAGGTATTCATATTTTTAGAAAGTTGACCAGGTAATCCTAATGTGCTTCCAAGATTGACAATCATTTTTCTAAACATGTGATACAAATTCATTGTACAATAAATTGTGTAATAAAATTGCAAATCTTGCGAAGCCTGAAGGATTTCACCAAAATGAGACAAGCTATATTAAGGAACTGCTGGGAGCTCCTGCCAGCCTGTTGACAAGTGAGGATCTGATCAAGCAACACAGTTAACATTGGAAGAGACAAGCCATCTGACATAATAGACATGTTGAAAGAGCCTGGTTTGTCTACAGCCATAGAATCTTTTTGCAAAAGTACTTGTCTTTATGATTGCCTTGTATACGTTATATATACAGGCAAGAATTCCATACTATGCTATTATAATAAAATTTAGATGGAGAAACATTCACCCAAAGCATCATGGTACATTATTTGTTGGCTCTAAAGTTGTGTGAGAGGTTGCAATGATATGTTCTTTTCAAATTAGATATATTTCATAAGTTTTTGTTTCATTTGTTTTTTAAAGGTCAATTCCAATTGAACCTTATTTTCATGATTTTTTCACACATTTTGGTGTATTTTAAGTGACTCCCTTGTAAGTAGCTTTTTCCTGGTACCAGTTTTCCTGGGGTCACAAGGACCCCCTGTAGCATCTCCCCCCAGTCTTCCTGTACTGTCCTCTCGGGAAGAAAAGTCTTTGGGTTCTTGGATAGAAATATTAAATTGTGTGGTAATCACTGTCACTGTCTGCTAGTCTTTGCAAAGTGTGTTTCTCAATGTCTACAGGTCACTTCTTCTGCAAAGCCATGCGCTCAGAGTCTCAGCCAACTGAGACAGAAGGGGACTGTTTAACTTTTTGCAAGAATGAACTAATCTCTGTGAAGATCACTGAAGGAGAGGCCCAGTGGGAAGGAGTATCCTTGGTGACAGGTCAGAGGGGCCTGGTGACTGTGTCAGCCTTGGAGCCCCTGCGGCTTCCTTTCCACCAGTGAGTAACTTCCTACCTTCTGGAAGATGGTTCCAGAACAGCTTGATGCCTACACATAGCCCCTGAGTAGGTCTACTTTCAGATATCTGAATCCAACCAACCACCTGCCTTGGAGTCGACTCCAACTCATGGTGTCTCCGTGTATGTCAGAGTTTGTGCTCCATAAGGTTTTCAATGGCTGATTTTCAGAAGCAGATCTGAGGTGCCTTTAGGTGAACTTGAACCTCCAGTTCAGCCTGTTAATCAGGGACTCCATGGGCATCCAAGGTGAATCTGGTAGTTTTTAATCTTTTGTTGTTTTAATTAAGTTTATATTATTTGATGAAATTGTAGATTACTTTAAATTTCAAATGGACATTGTACCTAGAATATATGTCCATTGCTTTTAGTGAAGCATTTCTCAAAGCCCAGATGAGGGGTCATTTGCATCAGAATTGCTTGGGAATTTTATGACAGGTTCAGACTGTCTAGCTGACCTCAAACCTACTGTGTCTGATTCTTGCTGTGGGGAATTAAATGAAGAAATATAAACTTTTAATAAATCCCCCAGTGGAATTTTTTTAAAATATAAAAGTGTGAGAATCCTTAGCGAGAAGGAGCTCTGGTAGCGTAGTGGTTATGAATTGGGCTGCGAACCTCAAGGTCAGGAGTTCGAAACTACCAGCTGTTCCATGGGAGAAAGATGAGGCTTTCTACTCCTGTAAAGATTTACAGCCTTGGAAATCCTGTGCAGGGTCGCTATGAGTCGGTTCCTACTCCATGGCACATAACCATCACCACTATATCGAGTGTGAAAAACAACACATGAGGTCGAAGACACTTGTGTGTGTGTGGTTCTTACAGTGAGAATATAAATGGACTTGTTTACTAGTTATTTAACTGTCAAACTAATTACAGAGCCAGGAAACATTCCAGGTACAGTTTGGTGGTTGTTGGTGGTTATGTGCCATGGAATCAGTTCTGAGGCTGTAAATCTTTACGGGAGCAGAAAACCTCATCTTTCTCCCATGGAACTGTTGGTAATTTCAAACTGCTGACCTTGAGATTAACAGCCCAACTGGTAACCACATGCTACCAGAGATCCTTAGGTACAATTCGAGTTATCAATAAATATTTGTTATCATTATAGTAAGTGTAGTAACAACAATACTTACCACCATCATTGTTAGCTTAATGGTCTACTTTACTCAATGCTATGACTTAAACGAAAAAAAAAAATTCTGTGTTTGCAAACCTCTTGTTTCCATTGGCAGATGGTTCCTAAAGAATTATCCAGGAAGCTGTGCCCTTCCCAAGAAAGGGGATTGGACAGGCTCTTATCACATTGGTATGTCTGAATGGAAAACAGTGTTAATCCTGCCTCCTAATTTTATCCATAGGTTTGGAGTCAGTTGATATAACTTCCTGTATCACCTCTGGTACTGGTTGGATTAAGGGAAGCCACTTGCCACCTGGACACATAGGTTTTCTTACCTAAGAAATAAGAGGTCTGTGGTTTCCCTTTTTTGTTATTAAGTACTGTGGAGTTGGTTCCGACTCATAGTGACCCTGCACAGGGTTTCTGAGGCTGTAAATCTTTACGGGAGCAGTAGTTTCAAACTTCTGACCTTGAGATTGGCAGCCCGACTTGTCACCACTACGCTACCAGAGCTCCTTGTGGCCTCCCTTTAGGGGTAAACATACAAGTGCTCACAGGGCCAGGCAGAGTGCGCTGATGATTCAGAAGGACCTAGAGGAGAGATGTTAGGGAGTGGCAGGGACATTAGAAATTTGAAGATACTTTGAGGAGATGGGGATAATCCCTGTGTGGGCCAAATTAAATATTCTCTGAGCCAAATGACTGAGCCCTGGTAGTGTGGTGGATTAGGTGTTGGACTACTAACACAAGGTTAGCAGTTCAAATCTACCAGTTACTTCGTGGGAGAAAGATGAGGCTTTCTGTTCCTGTAAAGAGCATCAGAAATGCTATGCAGGGTCATATGAGTCGTAACTGACTCGGTGGCACACAACCACCACCACCACCGTCAACCAAATATGACCTGTTGACTGCCTGTTTTCAACTCCTCGTTGAAATCCTTCCTAATTTTTTTAGAGTTTTGTGAAACTAAACTTAAACTTGGGAAAAGTTAGAATGTTTGGCCCATGGTAGAACACGGGACTAACTAGTGGTTGGAAGCTTCAAGTTCTAGACCCAGTTTTGCTACGTGTGAACACCACAAACAAATCATGTAACTTTTCTGTGCCTTCATTTTCAAATCTGTGAAGAGGAGATTATGCTCATTGTCCTGTCTACTGTTCAGGGCTTTGGGGAAGAGCTGAGAAAATATACGTTAATATATTTTGTGAACTGAATCTGCAGTGCTCATAAAATATGTTTTTACTGGGTCTTAGATGACTTAACAAATTGGAAAATTACATGCATAGTAAGAAGGAGAGTCTTCCAGATGATTCTGGGTTACCAGGCATCTCTTATTTCACCAGTGATCATGTTGTTGTTGTTATGTGCCATGGAGTCAGTTCTGACTCATAGAGACCCTGTACAGGGTTGCCGAGGCTGTAAACCTTTATGGGTGCAGAAAGCCTCATCTTTCTCCCGTGGAACAGCTGGTAGTTTTGAACTGCTGACCGTGAGATTCACAGCCTGATTCGTAACCACTATGCTACCAGATCATGAGGTGAAAATTTACTGAGTATTGACTATATCTAGGCATTGTGCACTTTATCTCTTTGACTCTTCCAAATAGTTATCAGAGGCAGTGTTCATATTGTTTTCATTTCACAACTGGGGAAACTAAGGTCCACAGTGGTCAAAAGGACCTGAAAGGAAATGCGCGAGTCCCCTAGTACAATGGGTCTCACATACAGGCCTATGGATTGGTGCCACCCAGGATGAAGTATTTACATGGAAGTGGCAAAATCAGACAAACCAGGGCCATGGAGTGAGTTTTAACAAGCTAAATGCATTCTGTTTGTAAGGCATTTCATGTATTCTGAAATACTTTCCTCCATTTGCTAAACTATCTTTTTATTTTATTTTTTATAAAAAGGTAATGAAAGTAGATGGTAGCAATTTTTTTGTTTTGTTTTAAGGTCCTTGTTTGGCAGAATGAAAAGTTAGTAACCCTATGTCACTTCTGCAAATGCATTATTGCTATGTAAAATTTTACCAATACTTGCAATCCCAAAGTCTGGGAACGCTTCGTTTCCTATTACATTGGAATTTAGTAGTGAGTTTGGATATTATGCTGGATTTAGTTGCCTTGTTCTATTTCCTCCCAGGCAGAGGGAAGTGTAAAGCCCTGAAGGGCTATGAAAAAGAAGAAGAGGATGAACTGAGTTTCTGCCGGGGAGAAAACATCGAGATCATTGGTTTTGTCATACCTGGGCTTCAGTGGTTCATTGGGAAGTCAAGTCGCTCAGGGCAAGTGGGCTTTGTCCCCACTAGGAACATAGATCCTGAGTCTTATTCCCCAATGTGAGTATAACAGAAAGGCCTTCTGGGATATTTTGGAGCTGGAATGCCTGTCTCCACAGTGGTTCCTCCTCTTTTTGGGCAGGTTGGCAGATGTACATCCTGGGTTCCTTGGGGACATAGAGCCTGAGAAGCACATTTTGACACAGAGTGATAGGAAGGAGAGAATGAGTGACCATGGAATTGGTCACTCCAGTCTATTTCAACGGATGTTATTGAACCCTTTCTCTGTGTAACTAGAGAAACGCAATTCCAACATGAAGGACACAAGGAGGTAGTTTTGATATTTGTATCCTGCCAATTACTCTTTTCCAATGACGGGTTCTCATCAAGGGCAGTGAACACAAAGGGATAAATAGAGGACTGACTTGCTGAATGGAGATTCCCACAGGTGTAGATGTGCCTGCTGGAAGCTTAATTTGTGAGGGTAAAATGCATCTTTCTATTTTTTTTCACCTTGAATTCAGAAGGGCTAGTTGTGAGGAGATGAATTCATCCACACGCGTGGCAGATGTGAAGGTTAGAGCTTGGGACTATTGCTTGTTCTTCCTAGAGTAGATTTCCTCCATGGGATTAGGAAACAGTGTAAGGTTTGCTGCAAATGGATCCCAGAAGTACAAGAGGAAACATGGAGTTGTTCTCTTTGAGGCACCATTGTCCTCGCACTGGATGTTTTAGTTATCTAATGCTGCCACAACAGATATACCATAAAGGGGCAGCTTTAACAAACAGAAGTTTATATTATTACAATTTAGGTGGCTAGCAGACCCAGTTCAGGATGTCAGCTTTGGGTAGGGAGCCTTTCTTTCTCTGTTGGTTCTGAAAGAAGGTCCTTGTCTCTTCTGAACTTCTGCTCCTGAGAAATCTTCACGTAGCTTGGCATCTCTCCAACCTCTGCTTGTTAGCAGGCTTGTTTAATCTCTTTTATATCTCAAAAGAGATTGACTTACGATACGCTCGGCATGATTCTTACCTCATTAAAATAATAAGGACAGTCTGTTCCCCAATGGTATTATTAATACAGGCATACAGGGTAGGATTTGAACACATATTTTTGTGAAAGAAGGAAAGGAGATGGGAAATTACTTCTTGTATGTCTCCCAAACACCCTGTAGATTATAGACATCCCTGAACCACAGCAGCAGGGGATGGATTTTGGGCTCAGAGGAAGGACAGACAAACAACATGGACACAAACACCATCAGTATGTTGGTCTATGTAGTGTGCTAGTGGCCTGGCCACTAGGTGTCACTCTTAGTTTATATTTGTTTGCAATCAGTTTTCTGAAGCTGAGAGGTTTTCATCCTCTCCAGCATAGGGATATTCCCTCCTCATGCTGGTATTTTATACAGGCAAGACTTCTGACCAAATTGGCAGTATGTTGTTGTTGTTAGGTCCCATTGAGTTAGGACCAACTCATAACTACCCTCTGCACAACAGAATGAAACACTGTTCAGTCCTGTGCCAACCTCACATTCGTTACATAGAGTCCATTGCTGCTGCCACTGTGCCAATCTACCTCACTGGGGGTCTTCCTCTTTTTCTCGGACCCTCCATTTTACCAAACATAATATCATTCTCTAGGGACTTGTCCCTCCTGGCAACATGTCCAACGTAGGAGAGACCAAGTTTGGTCATCCTTGCTTCTAGGGAACATTCTGGCTGAACTTCTTCCAACACAGACTGGTTTGTTCTTTTGGCAGTCCATGGTGCTTTTCATATTCTCCTCCAACACCATAGCTGAAATGCATCAATTCTTCTACAGTCTTCCTTATTCACTGTCCAGCTTTCGCATGCATATGAGGTTATTGAAAATATCATGGCTTGGGTCAGGCTCACTTTCCTCCTCAAACTGACATCTTTGCTCTTCAACACTTTAAAGAGGTCTTGTGCAGCAGATCTGCCCAGTGCAATACACCATTTGATTTCTTGACTGCTGCTTTCATGCAGGCTGATGGTTGATCCGAGCAAAATGAAGTCACTGACAACTTCAGTCTTTTCTCCATTTATACGGATGTTGTTTATTGGTCTAGTGATGAGGATTTTTGTTTTCTTTACATTGAAGTACAACCCATACTGAAATCTGTGGTCTTTGATCTTCATCAGTAAGTATTTTATGTCCTTTTTGCTTTTAGCAAGCAAACTTGTATCATCCGCATATGGCAGGTTGTTAGTGAGTCTACCTCTAATCCTGATGTCATGTTTGTCTTCATACAATCCAGCTTCTCAGAATATTTGCTCAGTATACAAACTGAATAAATATGGTAAAAGAATACAACCACTGGCACATACCTTTCCTAATTTTAAACCTTTCAGTGTTCCCTTGTTCTGTTCAAACAAATGCCTCTTGGTCTATGTATAGGTTCCTCATGAACACAATAAGTGTTCTGGAATACTCAGTTCTCCTCAATGCTGCCCATAACTTGTCATGATCCATACAATCGAAAGCCTTTGTGCAGTCAATAAATCACAGATAAACATCTTTCTGGTATTCTCTGCTGTCAGCCAAGATCTATCTGACATTAGTAATGATATCCCTCACTCCATGTCCTGTTCTGAATCCAGCTTGAACTTCTGGAATTTCTCTGTCACTGTATGGTTGCAGCCATTTTTTTATTACCTTTAGCAAAATTTTGTTTCTGTGAGATAGTAATGATTTCTACATTCTGTTGGGTCACCTCTTTTTGGAATAGGCACAAATATGGATCTCTTCCAGTTAGTTGGTCAGATAGTTGTCTTCCAAATCCTGGTATCGATGAGTGAGTGCCTCTAGTGCTTCATCAGTTTGTTGAAAAATTTCAAGTTGTATTCCATCAGTTCCCAGAACCTTGTTCTTTGCCAATGTCTTCAATTTACCTTGGACTTCTTCCTTCAGTACCATTGGCTCTTGATCATATGCTACCTTTTGAAATGGTTGAACATTGACCATCTCTTTCTGGTACAATGACTGTGTATTCCTTCCATCTTCTTTTGATAATTTATAAATCATTCAATATTTTGCCCATGTTGTTGTTGTTGTTGTTATGTGCCGTTGATACGGTACTGACTCACAGTGACTCTGTGTAGGATTTCTGAGGAATGACTGCTGAGTTTGAACCTCCATCCTTGTAGTTCAAAGTGACCTTGCAGTCCAGCACATTAACCCACAGCACCACACCAGAACTCCTATCTTACCCATAGAATCCTTCAATATTGCAAGTCAAGGCTTGGATATTAGCAGTGTACTGAGAATGACATTTTTTAGAAGCTGCTTTCTGATTTAGATTTAGAGTCTGACATATGGGAAAGGGATTCTACTGGTTGTGAGTTTCCTCTTTTGACAGCATAAATTTCAACAAAGCTTCCTACTTTCCCAACAACATTAGCCAAAACGCTTACTGCAGATATTCAGTCCAAATAGACCATCATGTTTGGGTTTGACAAGACACACTTTGGGGCTCTTGAAATTTTGAGGGTAATGGAGAGTCATGCCTTTCTTGCTTTTATATGCTGGCATTAAATTTTTTTCAATATGTCTGCTTTTGTATGGGTATGTGTGTGTTTTAAGGGAGAAAAGGCAAGGTTTCAGATACAAAAAGACATCTCTTTACCTCTCCCAGCTTACATTCCCTGATTCTGGTCCCATCTCAGAGGCAGACTCTATTCAGTAGTTGATATGTATCTTTCCAATCATTTCCAATACATTTTAAAAATAGGTATTTGTTCTTAAAACAAAACAAAAAAACCCTATGATTTTGTGTATTTACCATGTATATAAATGCTTCTTTTGCAAATGACTTTTCAGTGACATTGGGAATTTAGACTTTATTAATATTGTGATATAATTCAACTTAATAAAGTATTATTTGAGGTAAATTTATATACTTGATGCATACATTAAAAATAGGCAAGATTGAAAATGCATGGATTTTAAACCCGAAAGGAAGCATAAGAGATATGCCAGTATTTCATAATTTTGAATGCAATTTTTTCTAGCTTTGTTATATCTCCTTTTTTTATCCCTTATATTGTTTGTTTATTCTTTATATTATTTTCATCTTCTTTATAACGCTATTTCTTTTTGCATCTGTCTATACTGATGAGGATTTTGTTCTACTCTCATAGCCTTTGAGTAGTCAGGTTTTAAAAAAAAATCATAATTTAAAAAATGTTTTATTGTGAATTATGTGATAGTTTACATGGGAGAACATTAGTTTTACGTTCATCCTATTGTTTATCACTTCATTGCCATGGTTACAATCCCCTCCATGCATCATCAACCAACCAAAGGGTATATCCTACAAGACTGCCCCCCTGCCGCCCCCCCCCCCCAGAATCACATTTAAAAAAGGTTTTCTCTTTGTCATTGATGTTCCAAAACTGACCCATAATATGTCTGGATGTGATATTTTCTATTATATACACTTATAGCAAATTGTCAGTTTCCTTCTTCATAATAGGTATCTTTTAGTAGTTATTTATGTGGAGAGCTATGATTTATAATCACTCTCATTCTCAATCTTTGCTTGTCCTAAATATATGAAAATACAATCTTGATTGATAATTTGGCTAGATATAGAATAATATCTTCAAACTGTGGAGGGAAAGATATTAATATAAAATTTCAAAGAAGTTTGTCCGCTTTATTACCATTTACAGAGAACAGAGTTTGCTTTTGTTGACATTCTTTATTGCTTTTTTTGTTTTCTATTTCATTAATTTCAGTATTTATTTTTATTATTTTCTTCTACTTTCTTTCTTTCATTAATTTATGTTCCTGCCCCTTAAATTTAATTCTTTCATCCCACGACATTGAGCAGTTAGATAAAACAGGTAAGTGAACCCAGAAAGAAGAAATAGAAAACCTGAGTAGGTCTATACCTTATAAAAATGGAAATCATATTTGAAATTATATTATTATTCATTAGAAATTAAATCGTATCATTTTTATTTATTTTGCTCAGGACTTACTTCTTCAATCTTAAGACATATCTTTCTCCAATTCTGGAAACACTTCACTTGTTTCCTTTTGAATATTGCCTCTTTCATTCTTTTTAGTCTTGCTTCTGGAATTGTATTAGAGGTATATTGGACTTCTTTTGTATGTGCCACCTCAATTATTTCTTTCATATTTTTTTATCCTTTGTCACTCAAGGTTGCATTCTGGGTGGTTTTTCTCAGAACTATATTCAATTTCTGACTATGCAAAAGCTTTGAACCATGTGGATCATGGTAAGTTATGGCTAGCATTGCAAAGAATGGCTATTCTAGAATATTTAATTGAACTCATGAGGAACTTATATATAGACCAAGAGACAGTATTTAGAACAGAACAAGACGATACTGAATGGTATAAAATCATGAAAGATATATGTCAGGATTATATTCTTTACTATTCTTATTCAATATGTATGCTGAGCAAATACTGACAGAGGCTGGGTTATATGAAGTAGAACAAGGCATCAGGATTTGAGGAAGACTCATTAACAACTTGCAATATGCAGATAATGCAACATTGCTTGCTGAAAGTGAAGAGGACTTAAAATACTTACTGATGAAAATCAAAGACCACAATCTGAAGCATGGATTACACCTCAATGTAAAGAAAACAAAAATCCACAACTGGACCAATAAATGACAATGATATATGTATTGAAGTTGTCAAAGACTTCATTTTACTTGGATCCACAATCAACACTCAAGGAAGCAGCAATCAAGAAATCAAATGGCGTATTGCATTAGACAAATCTTTTGCACAAGACCTCTTTAAAGTGTTGAAGAGCAAAGATGTGTGCCTGATCCAAGCCATAGTGTTTTTAATCACCTCATTGCTGTTGTAAAGAACCGTCACGTCGGTTCCAACTCATAACAACCCTGTATAGGATTTCTGAGGAAGGCTCATCTTTTCCCATAAAATTCCAATCATGGACCTTGTGGTTCAAAGTCCAGTGCTTATCTTACAGAGCCATAGTGTTCCCAATCACTTCATATGTGTATGAAAGCTGTACAGTAAATAAGAAAACCATAGAAGAATTGATCCATTTGAGATATGGTGTTAGAGGAGAATATTAAAAGCACCATGGACTGCCAAAAGAACAATCTGATGGAAGAAGTACAACAGAATGCTCCTTGGAAGTCAGGATGGCAAGACTTCTTCTCTCATACTTTAAGCATACTGTTAGGTGGGACCAATCCCTAGAGAAGGACATCATGCTTGATAAAGTGAAGGGTCAGTGAAAAAGAGGAAGACCCCAATGAGTTGGATTGGCACACTGGCAGGAGTAATGAGCTCAAGCACAACAATTGTGAGGTTGGTGCAGGACCAGACAGTGTTTCAGTCTGTTTTGCATAGGTTTTCTATGAGTCAGAACTGACTCGATGGCCCCTAACAACAAAAATATTTAATTTCACTAATTGTTTCCTTAACTATGGCTAAATCTACTGTTTAATCCATCCACATAGTTCTTTATTTTATATCATCATTTTTCATTTCTGTAATTTGTATTTTGCTTTTTTTGCATATGTCTGTTTTCCCCACCATGTTCATCCTTTCATCATAGCACTTTCTCATTCTTTTCATCTTTTCCTCATTCTAAGCATTCTTATAAATGATCTTTCAGATCATTGCTATTTCTAGTTCTTGTAGTGTTAATTTATCTCTTTGTATATCTGCTGGATCTCTTTCTTGGTTGTGCGGTTTGTATTTTGTTGACATTTTGAATTATTTTCTTTTACTGAATCCTGAGCTGCAAGGGCATCCTGCATAGCAGATATTGTATTTGCTTCTCTTGAAGTCTTAGAAATTCAGTGGTTCAGGGCCAATTTCTTAATGTTAACTTCAGTGGTTGTGATACCACTGTGTAATATAAATTTAAATTACACACCTTCAAATGATACTGTTGTTAAGTGCCATTGAGTCCTTTCTGCCCCATAGCTATCTTGTATAGGGTTTCTGAGGAGCAGCTGGTGAGATTGAATCACTGACCTTGTGGTTCTAACCAACTTTTCAGGCCAGCGCATTAACACACAGTGCCACACCAGGACTCCGCAAATGGTATAGGCGCGGACATTTGATTTTTCACTCAGACAGATGGAAGCAGTGTTTTAGGCAGGTAGCAAGGACACATTCTTTATGTAAGTAGCAGCCCTTCATGATTCAGGCTTTATGCAGGGATTTTATGCTTAACACAAGCTCAAGATCATGTCTTCAGTCCTTGAGGGACATTAGAAGAGGAGATCATCTCTGAGGACCACTGTACAATATGAGATCCCCCACGGTCTCTGGGCCATCTGCTTTTGTTTCTGGTTCTGGTTCCTTGTCGTTAGCAGCCCAGTGTTTATCCTTCATATCACATCAGGACTCATAATTATTGTTGTTAAGTTCTATCAAGTTGGTTCTGACTCATGGTGATTCTGTATAAAGTTTCTTAGGCTTTAAATTTTGTGGGAGCAGAAAGCCTCATCGTTGTCCCAAGGAGCAGCTAATGGGCTCAAACTGCTGACCTTGTGGAGCCACAGAGTTACTTATGACTCATAATACTGCTGTTCTATATCATGGAATCAGATCTCAACAATTGTGAAAGGTTCTTTCTGAACACAGTCTAATTTTCTTCATTGTTGATTTAGCATTTTTCATTTGCCCTAGCTTTTTCTTGAAATAAACTCAGGGCAAAGAAATTCATTCCTTTCCAACTCTTACGTTTTGAGCAACCAATTCCCACTTCTGCCATTACAGACTAACATCATATGGTCTTAAAGGAAGGGAAGACTTTGAGAAAAGGGTCTTTGCTCTTTATTTGAAATGTGAGGTTCTGATGGGACTATTGTCTCCACTTAAGCTGTCCTGGAACCACTCAGCCAGCTCTCCATGGATGGGATGGAAATAAAGTAGGTCTTCTTCCTTGGAAGTGTAACTACATTAAGCAACAGCAAGAAGGATTCCGATTTCAGCTGTGGGCAAAGTGGACTGATGGCTGTATGCTGCCTTTCACTTAATTTTAATGTGGAGGCAGAAGGGGTCACGTCTGGAGCCTTGCACTAATCTGTCTCTATGCCTTTTGCCTCATTGCAGGAGCAAGAACTCCGCCTTCTTCAGTGATGAAGAAAGATGCTCACTATGGGTGCTGGAAAGTGACAAGAGAGAAGAGTGTACCAGCTTTCTCCACTTGCTTGCTCACACTGATATAACATCTGTCTACCGACTTAGTGAGTATTTGCTCTCAAGACCCATTTGAAAGCCCAGACTCCTCAAGATTAACAAGAGTGTCTCTAAGCAGGAATAGAATACTTCTAATATTGTGTCCTGGTGTGGTACTGTGGGCTAATGCGTCAGACTGTAAAGTTGTTTGAACTACAATGTCAGTGGTTCAAGCTCACCAGCTGCTCTTTGAAAACCCTATACAGGGTTGCTACGGGTTGGAATCGACTCCACGGCACTTAACAACAACAATATTGTGGGTTAATGCACTGGACTGCAAAGTCAGTTTGAACTGCAAGATCAGTGGTTCAAGCTCACCAGCTGCTCCTCAGAAACCCTATACAGGGTCGCTATGCATCAGAACCAACTCAACAGCACTTAACAACTACAATAACAACAACATCTAATTGTATCCATGACTTTGGAGATTTGGTCATTACTGAGTTGATGACTGTGGTCATATTTGATGGGCAATATTTTAACCTTTGATCTCAAATAATTCTGTGGTACATAGAAGATGTTTCATAGAAATTCTGAGATATGATGATGCCAACTTATCTAGTCCATGGGCAGCTGGCTGTGTCATGAAGAAGAATTTTCTGAATCCTAGCTGAACTCTCTCCTTTTATGGCTAATATAGGTCTAGGTTCCTACTAACCAAAGTGGGGCCATTGAAAGGGCCCTAAGATATGATTTCTCCCCTCATTTTACAGATTAGGAAGCTGAGGACCAAGAAAATTTGTGCCTGAGCTAGGATAAGAAATGAACTTTTCTAATTACTATCCAGGGCAGTTTGCAGTTCACTATGTTGCCTCTGACACAAAATGTCATTGGACTGCTGGGTATATTGGCCTTGACTTCTGTCTGCCAATAAATGCTGATGTTCCTAGGTTTATTACTAACTCCCTCTAGCATCATCCTTATCCCCTCAGCCTGCTTTACCTTTTCTTACAAATGTGTGTCCTGTGCATTCTGATTCAGTCTTGGAACATTGATCAGCTCCTTTCTGGGTTACAAATCTATATTTGTAAACCTCAACTTTCCTCCTTGGCTAGAGACCTGTTTCATTCTCTACTTAGAGTTCTTGTAAGAATCTCCAATTTAAAACATCTAAAGCTGAACTCAAGACTGTTCCTTCCTCTGCCTCATCCTACTAAGTTACTTCAGAGGACAACATTAGAAACCTCTGATGCCTGCTTCTTTTCTTCACTTCCGGTCCCTCAGTCTTGTCCACTTTATGAATTCCAGTGCCAAGCACATTGACCACACCGAGTCACTACCTGTGGTGTATGAATGAAGAATGAATGGAGGTAGGAAGACGAAATGATAAGATACACATCAAAATGCGTTTTTCTTCTTTGATACTGCACCTTGTTTCTATTTCCTTTTCCAGCTGTAAAGTGAGCGGGTTAAACAAAGTGATTTTGTGGCTCTTAAATGGTTGAAGAAAGGGAGACTTCTATCCAGTTCCTTAGAGATGACTGGTGGCCCGACCCTAAGGAAACATAGACATGGGGGCTCATTCTGACCTAACACCAGATTTATCTTTTATCTTTACCCAGGTGGATTTGAATCCATCCAGAATCTTCCAAAGGAGCTGAGTGGTGAGTAGAGACTATGCTGAACCTGATCTCAGTGCAGTTCTTCAGGACAGCACTCCTGCCCTCTCACCAAGAGCTGGTCATCTTGGTTACAGGTATTTAGGGTTGCTCAACTCTGCCTGTCCCTTACAGCATTCCAACCCGAAGGGTTCAAGGAAGCCAGGTCTGGTGGAGCTTGGGAAGAGCATCAGGGCATGGGCTCCACACAGTCCAACAGCTCGGAGGACTCCAGTCCAGAAGAAGAGCTCCTCTCCGCTGCCTCTGACAGCTATCACCTGCCAGAGCCTGATGACCTTGATGACCCAGAATTGTTCATGGACCTAAATGCTGGTCAAGAGGAAGAGGAAGCTAAGGACTTTGTCCCCATATTGACTTTTCTGGATCATGAAGGTTATGCTGACCACTTTAAAAGCCTGTATGATTTCTCTTTCTCTTTCCTCACTACTTCCTTTTACAGCTTCTCTGAGGAAGATGAACTTGTGGCTTACCTAGAAGCCTCAAGGAAGTGGGCAAAGCGGAACCACATGACCTGGGCTCATGCTCGGCTCTGCTTTCTCTTGGGTCGGCTTAGTGTCAGGAAGATAAAACTCTCTCAGGCCAGGGTGTACTTTGAGGAGGCCATCTACATTCTCCATGGAGCATTTGATGACCTGCCCTTGGTAGCTGCTCTGTACATAAATTTGGCTGCCATCTACCTCAGGCAGAGGTTGAAGAAAAAGAGCTCTACCTTGCTGGAAAAGGCAGGGGCCTTGTTGGCCTGCCTGCCTGACCATGAATTTACTGCCAAAAATGAGCTTGACTTGGTGGTCTATGTGCTACGCCAGGGGATTGTGGCAGGCAGTAGCCCTTTGGAGGCCCGGGCCTGCTTAATGGCCATCCGATTGCTTCTAAACCTAGGCCGGCATGATGAGGTCCTGCCCTTTGCTGAGCGTCTTAAGCTCCTCTCTGGACACCCTTCTGCCTCGGATGCTATGAGCAACATCTTGAGTTTTCTGTATGACAAGAAATATCTTCCACACCTTGTAGTGGCCTCTGTTCGGCAACGTGGTACCCAAAGTGTCCAAGGGATGTATCTTTCTATTTGGCAGGCCCACCTGGTCCTCCAAAATGTCACCAAGCTCCTTGGCATTCCTTTCCAAAGCTGGGATGAAGTTTCTGCCCTTGCCTGCCCATCACTTAAGCAAGCACTTGTTGCCTGTGAGGAGCAGGCAGACCGGAACACCCAGAGGGCCTTGTGTCTCATCCTGTCCAAAATTTACCTCCAATATAGATCTCCTGATGGTGCCATCTGCTACCTGAGCCAAGCCTTGGCACTAGGACAGCAGCTGAATGACCTGGAAGCCTTTGAGTCTTCCCTCTGCCTGGCATGGGCCTATCTCTTAGCCAGCCAACCAAAGAAGGCTTTGGACATTCTTGAGTCACTCTTATGTTCCCTGAAGGACACAGACAGTGTCACCCAGAACGGGGTGGTCCATAACCTCATAGGACTGGCACTTCAGGCTGAAGGCTGGGTGAATAGAGCAGCTAAGAGCTATCTCCGGGCCTTGAACAGAGCTCAGGAAATGGGGAATACACGTAACCAAGCGGTATCTCTGGCCAATCTTGGCCACCTGACCCTTAAGTCACGAGCTCAGCAGCCAACCAGGAACTATCTCATGAAGGCCGTCCGACTCTATTCTGGACTCCAAGCTAGCAAGGAGACAGACTTGGAATTGATACAGGTGCTTCTCTGGTTGGCTCAAGTCCTGGTGTATGGACGCCAGCTGGCCAGTGGCCGCCTTTATTATGAAATGGCATTGCTATTTGGCTTAATGCATCGGCATCTAAAGAGTGAGTATGTCCCGGGCTGCTGGGAAGTGTTAAAGAAACATATTAGAGCACATTTTCCCCATGTCCTATTTCAGGTCATCTCATTCATCTCCCTGCTTTATGTTCAGGCCAGCTTCAGGTCACCAAATCCCTCTGCCATTTCTACAGCTCTGTGTCCCCAAGCCCTGAGGCATGCATTACATACCATGAACACTGGTTGGCCCTGGCTCAGCAACTCAGGGACCGGGAAATGGAAGGGAGGCTGCTGGAGTCACTTGGACAGCTCTACCGGAACCTCAACACAGGCAGGTGAGTTAGGGCTTCACGATCCTCTAAGAGACATCTTTTAAAAAATAACATGTTCTTGTCCTTAGGAAGCCAAGCCTAAATGCACATAGACTGGGCAACACAGGATGCAAATCTGGTGCTATCACCTATTGGTTGTGTGCGCTTGGGCAAGTTGCTTAATTTCCTGATGCCTCAGTTTCCTCACCAGGGTAATTAGTTGCTTAGTGCTGTTATAACACAAATACCTCATGTGGGTGGTTTTAAAGGACAGAAATTTATTTTCTCATAGTTCTAGAAGCTAAAAGTTCAAATCAAGGTCTTGGTTGTATAGACCCTTCTTTGTCGGTAGCCCCAGGCGTTCCTTGGTTTCTTGGGGATCATTGACTTGTAGATGACTCTTACATGGTGTCTGTCTTTCCCTGTATATCTCTATGTTTATTTTGGTCTTTTTAGGACTCAGAAGTCTTTAGGTTTAGGATCTACCTTACCCTGGTGTGACCTCATTTATATAATGAAAGGGAACCCCTATTTCCAAATAGGATCACATCAAAGGTAGAAGGGCCAAGAACCCAACACATGTTTTCAGGGACATAATTCAACTAATGAAATATGGCTTCTATCTTATGATGTTATGGTGAGGAATACACGAAACACTGAGGGCAGTGCCTAATGCATACATAGAAAGGATTCAGCCACACTAGCTATGTTACTAGTACTTGTGTATTTCCATAACAGCTCACCACCTGACTATGGCCCAGGGTACATGCCTTAGAGCAGTGACCGTGACCCAGGAGCATGGAACCCTCAAGATGTCTTCATTAGCAGAGGATACGTGGCTTTAGAAAAAGACACTACTCTTCTCAAAGCCCTTGTGTATACTTTCACAGTAAGAAACTTTTACCACAACCAAAAATCATGAAACTGAGTTTATTTTCACTTTTTTAGCTAAGAATATTCAGATTATAGTTGCAACTATGCACCATATTGTAAGATAAAAATGGAAGTATTGTTTTTGGGGTTTAATTATGTCAACAAAATTGTTTTACATGAGAGACATCCTTAAAGAAAGGGAGACACCTAGCCTAGTGGGCTCAAGTTGGACTGCTAATCTCAAGGTCAGCAGTTTGAAACTACCAGTGGTTCCATGGGAGAAAGATGAGGCTTTCTGCTCCTGTAAAGACTTACAGTCATGGAAACTCTGTATGGGGTTGCTATGAGTTAGAACCACTTCCACGGCACATAAACAACTACCGCCTTAAAAATAAAAGGAGCCCTGATGACTTCATGAGTTATTTGTTGGACTGCCAACTGCAGGGTCAGTAGTTCAAATACTCCAGGTGCTATAAGGGAGCAAGAGGAGGCTTTCTGTTCCCATAAAGACTTACAGCCTCATAAACCCTATACAGGGTCACTATGAGTCAGAACCAACTTGACCTGTACTTAACAATAAGGTCACTAGGAATCAGAATGAACTCAACTACAATGGATATTCCAAACTTCACTGTTTCATCCAAAGGTCTCTTTTATTCCTTTGGTATTAAATTATTCTTTGCCATCCCTGTTGATTTTCTCTTCTTCATTGACTGGTTTAACTTTATTTGTTACTCATTTGTCAGTAACATGGCTGGCAGCTCTGCTCTTTACAGTCTATTGCCACGAAGTCCATTCTGATTTATAGAGATCCTATAGAACAGAGTAGAAGTGTCCTGTAGGCTTTCCAAGGCTGTCATCTTTACTGAAGCAGACAGGCATGTCTTTCTTCTAAGGAGGGGCTCGTGGGTTGGAAATGCCAACCTTTTTGTTAGCAGCTGAATGCTTAACCAGTCTGCTCTGTAACAACTCTTTAATTGATTTTAATTAAATCTTACATGGTTGCAAGGTTTTCAATTTCACTTTGCATTGTAGTGCTGTAGTCATAACTATGAATGACTTTTCAAATAGCATGAGGATAATTGCTAGTGTCAAGCAGAGAGAAAGATCATTCAGGAGAAGCTAATTAAATAACAATTTTTGCTTCCCCAGGCAACATGGTTACTTTGGGAGTCTGGATAATCAGATGATGAAAAATCAGATAATGCATTCTCTTTCTGGCTCCTTCTAGCTCTCCCTTTCTTTTCTCTGTTCTCACAAGAATCAGGTGTCCTCAGAACTTCCCATTGTCTTTGACGTCAGCCCCAGGGAGAGACTCTTCGATTGTTGCAACATATAATGGGACAGGAGTCTTGGCCCCAATCTTGCCTTGCTTCATTCTAAGGCTCTGTAGAGGTTTGAATAGCTTGGATCAGGTCCAGATCTTTGGGTTGAAGAAGTCAAAGTATATGGCAAGGCATTCTGGGACTAAACTTTGAGAAAGACAGATTTCAAGGGATTAGAGCAGAGTCAGCAAATATGTGTCAGACTTATTGTCACCTCTTCCTGCTGTGCAGGCTCAGTTGCAGGTTAATCACTACTTCCAGTCATCCCCTATCCCAGTTCCATCCTTTGTTACTCAGTCTTTCCTTACCTGTTGTCAAATGACAATGAAATTCTAAGACGGAAGCCAGAGAGAAGGTCCTGAACTTTGCCAACATGGATTGCAGAGGCCTTATTTAAGACAGTTTTTGCTGCTGTTGTGAAGTGCCATCAAGTTGGTTCCGACTTATAACAATGCTGTATAGGATTTGTAAGGAGACGCTGGTGGGTTTGAACTGTAGGCCTTGTGGTTAGAATGCCAGTACTTATTCTACACCAGATACCACACCAAACTCCAAGACAATGTTAAGGATCACTATGCTTTTTAGACGATGAGGGCGTTTTAGAGGAAGAAGGAGTGGAACTACAGTTGCTCTAAAAAGTAACCAAAGGAAGTCAGAAGCCACAGAACTGAGAGATGTAATCAAACTGATTACCATTGTTGTTAGGTGTTGTTAAGTCAATCATGTGCAGAGTAGAACTACCCTATAGGATTTCCTAGGCTGTAATCTTTATGGGAGCAGATTTCCAGGTATTTTTTCAAGTCATTGTTTTGGTTAGAAATGCCAGTCTTTTGTTAGCAGCCAAGCTCTTTGTTTTACCAGGGTTCCTAAAATTGGATTAACTGTCAGCAAACCTGACATTATAAAGTAATAATGTGATCTGAAGCAAATGACTTCTTTTGGTGGTCCCATTTATGAAGTGAAATTGACTCAGGTACCTTCCAGTCCTGAAATATTGAGTCTGGGTCCAGCCAGGTCTGGTATTCTGGCACTCATCATACACTTACTAGTACCAGAATCCTTTCCAAGACTTTTGAACTTTTACAGACAGATTCTGAAAATCATGGGCTTTCTAAGGGATTTTTAAGATCAGAGACCTAAGCTTTTTTGAAAGACTGTGTTCAGAAGGTATTAATCTGAATTTATCTTACATTGATAAACTTGGATGTATAAATTAATGTTTTCCCTTAAATTTGGGGCTTTTAAAGCTATTATGTCTCCAAATATTCTTTCTGCACCTTATGTTTTCTCCTCTTCTTCTATAACTTTTATTATACACAGGATGTCCCAGAGGTCTCTGAGGCTGTCATTTATTTATTTATTTATTTATTTATTTATTTATTTATTTTCTGTTACTCAGACTGGATACTCTCAAATGACCTATCTTAAAGTTCTCTGATTATTTCTTCTGCTGGCTCAGTTTTGATGTTGAGTCTCTCTAGTGTATCTTTCATTTCAGTCATTGCATTCTTTTATTGGTATTGTATTTCTAAAATAAAAACTTCAGAATTTTAATTTTATTCATTGAAATAATTTTATCTTTGTTGGTGTTCTCTATATGATGAGATAATATTCTCCTTTAGTTTTCCTTTTATATATGACTTACTTTATTTCTTGGAATATATTTATAATAGCCAATTTACAGGGTTTTTTTTTTTTTTTTTTTTGTCTAGTACGTTTGGGTTACCTGATGGGGCAGTTTCTATTAAGTGCTACCTGTGTGCTGTTGTTGTTAACTACTATTGAGTCAGTTTTGACTCATAGCAACCCTGTACAGGGTTTCTGAGGAGCAGCTGATGGGTTTCAACTTCCAGCCTCATGGTACGCAGTCTGGTAGTGATCCTACCAGGAATACTTACCTATGTGTAGTCCATATTTCTTGTTTTTTTGTGTGTGTATGTGTGTATATATGTATATATATGTGCGTGTGTGTGTGTGTGTGTGTGTGTGTTTGACTGAAAACTTGATATTTAAAATAATATAATGTATCAACTCTGGAAAACAGATTCCCTTCTTCTTCCTCCAAGAGTTCTTGTAGCTGATTGGGATTGCTGTTTATTTGTTTAGGGATTTTTCCTATTTTTTTTTTTTTTCCCTGTAAAGTCTATATTCTCCATCTTGTGTGGCTATTGAAGCCTCTGCTTAGTAGCTTAGTGGTCAGATAATCATTAAACAGATTTATTGATATGGTTTACACCAAAATTCTTCCAGCTTGTGTGGGGTCTTTGACTGTTTTTTGGTCTATGCATTCACCTTCTGATAACAGTTTACAATTCTGTTTTAAACCTCCTTTCCTGCATGCACAGATCTTCAAGGCCAGGCAAAGGTGATATATTAAGGCCTTCTCAGGTCTTTCTTGGATAGACACACAGTCCTGCACATACTTATGCTCTTATGGATTCCCAGATCTATGTCAGAGTTTTCCTAAGTCTCCCATGGATATCTTATTCATTTCTTCCTTTTATTTCTTTTCTTAGTTTCTTATTAGTTCCAAATGTTTTCACCACCTCAAGCAGTGACAATGGTAAACATTTGCCACTTTAAAAAATTTTGCAAATATTCCAGGGGAAAAGATGCTTTATATGGAGTGAGTTATGAGTTAGGTCAAATAAAATCAAATATCCCAAGTGGAGTCTTTCAGAAAACTTCCAGACATGTTGAATAGTGACAATTCTAGGGACTAGAGTGTTAGAGGAGTCTCAAACCATCCTGTCTTTTCCAGTGGCTGCTAGGCTACTAGTTTCACAGTTCCAGTGACTGTAACCTGTTGATATGACTGCCAGAGAG